ATGCCTGCCGGGAAGTCCCCCACCGCCAGCTTGCCTCTCTGAGCGCTGGCGGTGCGCCCAGCGGTCTCCTCCTCCGTTAACCCCTCTCCCGTGGGTGCTCGTGCAGCTTGAGTCAGGAGAAGTGTTCCTGCTCTGCAGGATTATGCTGGCGAGGGGATTTATGAGGTTATGGAAATATGGCCGTTTGGAGTGCTGAGTGTGCACTTTTTGGGTCACCAAGCGGGCAGCACGACCACCGGCAAACCTTGCGTATCTCCCCTTTCCTGTGGGAAAAACACTTTGATCATTGCAGGGTGCTTCTGATAGTCATGAATGAGCATTTCTGCTGTCCCTGGCATCACCCGGGCTGGGGCCGACCAGGAGGGCTCTTCCTGGGGTAGCTGCTGTGCCCAGAGGTTTTGGGGTGCCAGCAGCCCTGTCCCCACTGCTGCACTATCGCCTCGCAGGGGCTTTCTCACTGCCATCGCAAGCATGGCCACAGACAGATAGCAGCTCTCAGAAGCTGCGCAGCGTTGAGCTTCTGCAGAGCATGCACGGGGCCAGCAAGGGGTAAAGACATCCAGGGGAAACCTCATTCCTGCCACGTGCTCTTCCTGGTAGAGCTCTTTTGGGCAGCTTTCACCAGGCCCCCTTCTCGTTTCTCTAGCAAACGGGTTATTCCACGAATGAACGGCAGCACACAGCTTTCTGCTTGTTCCTCCCGATTGCTTTTGAACCAGTTTATCTAATCTGTTTGAACTTGGCTGGGGAGAAGCCTCAAAATTCCCACAGCTGTCCCCAAAAACAGATGTATCCTGGAGGAGAAGTGCTGTTGCTTTGTGGACTGAAGTGGGGCATGCTGCCAAAGGAGCTGCTGCTTTGGCTTTTTATGGCTTCTTTAAGCCTAAATTGGGCTCCTAGCAGTGCAGTGAAGAAAAGCTCTCTCCAATTTTCCTTCTCTGTTAAAGCAGGAAGACTGACACCTCCTTTTTCTTCCAGATCGACGGCAGTGGTGTGCAATTATTGTCCTCTTCGTCATCTTGCTGGTGGTGCTCATCCTGTTTTTCGTCCTGTGATGGACTGAACTTCCTCGGACGCCCCCTCCCCGCCCCCTCGCCCCTGTAGCACAGGGAAACGAAACTCTCGCCGTTTCCGTCCGCCCACAGAGATCCCCAGCAAGAAAACCCACACCCAGCTCTCACCATTCTCTTCCGAGGACCGCAGTTTGGCTCTGCTGGCGTCTCACCTGGCCCT